GTCACAAAGGGTTTTGATATATATGGGAGATGCTATGATGTATATATTCATATTATACACACACAAACGATATATAGAGAGACAGAGACAGATACATAGATAAATAAATAGATAGATATATAGGGCCAAAAGTCACAAAGGTTTTTGATATATATGGGAGATGCTATGATGTATACATTCATATATATATATCTCACACACATATATACAAACACATACACACGCACTATAAATATATTGACAGATACATAGATAAATAGATAGATAGATAGATAGATAGATAGGGCCAAAAGTCACAAAGGGTTTTGATATATATGGGAGATGCTATGATGTATATATTCATATTATACACACACAAATTATATAGAGAGAGACAGAGACAGATACATAGATAAATAAATAGATATATAGGGCCAAAAGTCACAAAGGTTTTTGATATATATGGGAGATGCTATGATGTATACATTCATATATATATATCTCACACACATATATACAAACACATACACACACACTATAAATATATTGACAGATACATAGAATAGATAGATAGATATATAGGGCCAAAAGTCACAAAGGGTTTTGATATATATGGGAGATGCTATGATGTATATATTCATATTATACACACACAAATTATATAGAGAGAGACAGAGACAGATACATAGATAAATAAATAGATAGATATATAGGGCCAAAAGTCACAAAGGTTTTTGATATATATGGGAGATGCTATGATGTATATATTCATATTATACACACACACACAAACGATATATAGAGAGACAGAGACAGATACATAGATAAAAAATAGATAGATAGATAGGGCCAAAAGTCACAAAGGGTTTTTATATATATGGGAGATGCTATGATGTATATATTCATATTATAGATATACACACACACAAACGACTATAGAGAGAGAGACAGATACATAGATAAATAAATAGATATATAGGGCCAAAAGTCACAAAGGGTTTTGATATATATGGGAGATGCTATGATGTATATATTCATATTATAGATATACACACACACAAACTATAGAGAGAGAGAGACAGATACATAGATAAATAAATAGATATATAGGGCCAAAAGTCACAAAGGGTTTTGATACACCCGGGACATGCTATTTTATATGTATATATACATACACACATACACACACATATGCACACGCACACACACTATGAATATATAGACAGACAGATAGCTAGATAGATAAATAGGGCCAAAAGTCACAAAGGGGTTTGATATATACTGGAGATGGTATGGTACTGGACGCCATTGACAAAGACACGATTTTTCATAGGTATGGTACATTTACTTCCTATTTATACTGTGTATGCCACCGATTCCACGTTCAAAATAATAAGGTAAACCAAAAAGCCCCCCACCCCACCCCAGGATTGGAAACATGTATGGATTTTCCTAGAAGATGTCTCCTCCTGAAATCAAACATTGCACACTATGTATGTTCATATATCATCATCATCATCATCATCATTATGTCTATTTATACCCTGATTTATCTTTATATATGTATGTGTATAGATGTATATCTATATATAGGATGGCCCAAAAGTCACAAAGGGGTTTGATATATACTGCATAAAGCTATAGTATTGGATGCCATTTGAGAGGTGATTTTTCTCACGTAGCATATGAACATTTATTTCCTACATATACTGTATATGATCCCATTTACCAAGATTTGATTTTTCACACATTATGTATATTTATTGCTTGTGCATGGGAGTATGTATTTATGTGTATGGTATATATGATCCTATAGTAGTGTTACACCATTTACTCAGATCTGAGCTTTTCACACATAACTTACATATATTTCCTATACATACTGTATAGCATGGTATAGTATTGGGTATCCTTTACCGAGACTTGATTTTTCTCATGCAATGTACATGTATTTCATCTATATATATGATTGAATATGGAAAGCCCCTTTGTGACTTTTGGCCCACCTTGTCTACACACATATCTTGCCCACGGTATGAATATATATAGCTTGAGGGATCTATATATGCATATATAGTTTGCAATTATTGATTTCAGTGGAAGACAGTTTCTGTGCAATAGAAATAAACGCTTATATAGTATCCAACACATACATGTCACATGCAATATCTAGCAGTAGAAATCCAGGCATATAGTGCCCAAAATACATGTGTATATATATATATACATGTAGCATGCAATATCTAGCAGTAGAAATCCAAACATATAGTGTCCAAAATTCATATATGTATACATGTAGCATGCAATATCTAGCAGTAGAAATCCAGGCATATAGTGTCCAAAATACATATACGTATACATGTAGCATGCAATATCTAGCAGTAGAAATCCAAGCATATAGTGTCCAAAATTCATATATGTATACATGTAGCATGCAATATCTAGTAGTAGAAATCCAAGCATACAGTGTCCAAAATTCATATATGTATACATGTAGCATGCAATATCTAGCAGTAGAAATCCAGGCATATAGTGCCCAAAATACATATATGTATACATGTAGCATGCAATATCTAGCAGTAGAAATCCAAGCATATAGTGTCCAAAATTCATATATGTATACATGTAGCATGCAATATCTAGCAGCAGAAATCCAGGCATATAGTGCCCAAAATACATATGTATACATGTAGCATGCAATACCTAGCAGCAGAAATCCAGGCATATAGTGCCCAAAATACATATATGTATACATGTAACATGGTATATCTAGCAGTAGAAATCCAGGCATATAGTGCCCTATATATATGTATGTGTGCGTATATATATGTGTATACATGTAGCATGCAATATCTAGCAGTAGAAATCCAGGCATATAGTGTCCAAAATTCATATATGTATACATGTAACATGGTATATCTAGCAGTAGAAATCCAGGCATATAGTGTCCAAAACATACATATGTATACATGTAGCATGCAATATCTAGCAGTAGAAATCCAGGCATGTAGTGTCCAAAAAACATATATATGTATACATGTAGCATGCAGTATCTAGCAGTAAAAATCCAAGCATATAGTGCCCTATATATGTGTGTGTGTGTATATATATATATACATATATATGTATGTGTCCAAAACACATATATGTCCAAAACACATATATGTATATATGTAGCATGCAATATCTAGCATGCTACATGTAAGCCAGACATATAGTGCCCAATATGTGTGTTTGTGTGTGTGTATACATGTAACATACAATTTCTAGCAGTAGAAATCCAGGCATATAGTGCCCAAAATACATATATGTAAACATGTAACATACAATATCTAGCAATAGAAATCCAGGCATATATTGTGTCCAACACACACATATATCCATGTAGCATGAAGTATCTATCTATATAGCTTGATAGGGAGATACTCTTGCATTCTTCCCATCCTCTGCCCAGCAACCCCTTGGATTTTGGGGTCTGAAAGGACCCAATTGCCCCTTGTACACAGCTGTGATGTGATGAAAGGCAGCCATGATCCAGCCTGGGATCCATCTGAGACTAGAGAAAGAAGAAAGCCAGGCAGATCTGCATCCATTGTTCCTTCCTGAGCATCCAGGGCTTCCTCTATTGTAAGCCCCATTCATGTTCAACACATGCACAAATGCATTGCTCATTTGCATAGTATGCAAAATGCAATTTATTGCAAGGTTTTCTTTCCTCTGCATGTGCTTTTTTTGCCTCCTGCAGACACACAAAAAGGGGAGTTTCCTGCAAACTCCACCCCTTGTTCCCACTGTTTTTAATATAATTATTACTATTATTCCTGCAATAATAATAATACATATTTTAATATTATTGTATTTATATTTTTGCCTCCTGCAGACACACAAAAAGCGGGATTTCTTGCAAACTCCACCCCTTGTTCCCACTGTATTTAATATCATTATTATTCCTGCAATAATAATAACAACAACAAATTATATTTTAATATGACTGTATTTATATTTATTTTGCATGGACTCACCGTGATGATTGGAATATTTTTCTTGCCTAGATAAGACATCTTTCTGCCTCTTTGCACCTCCCACCCCTTGTTCCTACTGTTTTTTACTATTTATTATTGCAATTATTCCTGCAATAACAACAAATTATTATACTTAATAATATTATTATATTTATATTTATTTTGCATGGACTCACAGTGATGCTTGGAATATTTTTCRTGCCTTGATAAGAKATCTTTCTGSCTCTTTGCACCTCCCACCCCTTGCTCCCACTGTATTTYATATCATTATTATTCCTGCAATAATAATAACAAATTATATTTAATAATATTATTGTATTTATTATTATTTTGCATGGACTTACRGWGATYCTTGGAATATTTMTCRTGCCTTGATAAGACATTRTTTRTGCCTCTTTGCACCTCCCACCCCTTGCTCCCACTGTTTTTGTATTATTTATTYTTGCAATTATTCCTGCAATKACAAATTATTATATTTAATAATATTATTATTTTGCATGGACTCATAGTGATGCTTGGAATATTTTTCTTGCCTTGATAAGACATCTTTTTGGCTCTTTGCACCTCCCACCCCTTGCTCCCACTGTATTTAATATCATTATTATTCCTGCAATAATAATAACAAATTATATTTAATAATATTATTGTATTTATTATTATTTTGCATGAACTCATAGTGAWGRTTGGAATATTTTTCCTGCCTTGATAAGACATCTTTCTGCCTCTTTGCACCTCCCACCCCTTGTTCCCACTGTATTTAATATCATTATTATTCCTGCAATAATATCAAATTATATTTAATAATATTATTGTATTTATTATTTTGCATGGACTCACTGTGATGCTTGTAATATTTTTCTTGCCTTGATATGACATCTTTCTGCCTCTGCACCTCCCACCCCTTGCTCCCACTGTTTTTTAGTATGTATTATTGCAATTATTCCTGCAATAACAACAAATTATTATATTTAATAACATTATTATTTGGCATGGACTCACCGTGATGCGTGGAATATTTTTCTTGCCTTGATAAGACATCTTTCAGCCTCTTTGCACCTCCCACTCAACAAAGCCCTCTTTTTTTTGTGTGTCTCCAAAAATTAAAAAATAAATAAAAATAATTCAAAATTAGGATTAAAACCACCTTTTCTTTGCTTTTCTATACCTTCTGGCAATTGCAAAAAAATATATAATAAAATTGAAACAAAAGACTTTTCTGATTTGCTTTGATCCTTTTAAGAAAGCAACAAAAAAGCAAGCTTCCTTTTTTTGCAAAAGTAAATATTATTATTATTGTTGCAAAATGTTTGCAAAACACAAATTAAAAAAATAATAATAATGCTCCTTGCAAGAGAGAGAAGGGGGGAAACTGTGTCGCCTTTGCTTCCCTCTGCTTTGCAAAACCCAGCCCTGTCCTCAGGCGGCTGCAAAAGAAGAGTCTGCAAAGGAAGCCAAGCCAGGCTACTCTGCAAAGCAATCAAAGCCCGGGCACAAGGGAAGCTCCACTGCGCATGCGCCTCCCGCCACGCCCAGCCCCTCCATCCAGAGTGAGAGGGAGCGGCGCGCGGCTTCCGCTGCCTGGACCCGATTGGCCGGCGCCGCCCGTGGTATGCAAATAAGCCCCGGCGCTCGTCCAATGAGAAGCGAGCGGGACGCGGAGATGTAAAGTGGCGCAATGGCATCTAAGCCACTGAGAGCCGAGCTGCAGCTCGCCGTGAGCGAAAAGGCGAAGCCAATCGGGGGCTCTTAAAAGGGCGCCTGCTCTGCCTCTCATCAATGGGATGCTGCAGTGTCCAAAGGGAGAGGCAGGGAAAGCCTTCATCTTTGCAAGGTTGCATCCCAAAATAAGCATCACAAAATCTTGCATAACTGCAAGGAATTTAAGGTTGTGATCTCTGCATGCATCATTTTGGGTTGCATTTTGGGATGCTTTTTTTGATCTGCAGCCCTGCAGAGGAGTTACTGCTGCCTGGTCCACGCCCTGCTCTTGCCAACCAGACAAGAAAGAGGAGGAGAAGGAGGAGGAGATCTTACTTCCCACTCTCCTTTTTTTGTTTCCCTGTGGCTTGCAATGGCTGGGTGCTTCTGCTTCCTCAGCATCAGGAAGGCATTGTTTCCAATTGCAAGAGAAAGCAGCATGGGTCCCCCCCATATTTACATACCTACACAGCTCAAAATTAGCCAAATATTAATTGCAAAATATTTACAAAATATTCCCTATGTGTTGTATATTCAAAATAAATTATTGTATATTTATATTATTATATATATTATTTTTATATATATCTACACAGCTCAAAATTAGCCAAATATTAATTGCAAAATATTCACAAAATATTCCCTATGTGTTGTATATCCAAAATAAATTATTGTATATTTATATTATTATATATATTATTTTATATATATCTACACAGCTCAAAATTAGCCAAATATTAATTGCAAAATATTTACAAAATATTCCCTATGTGTTGTATATCCAAAATAAATTATTGTATATTTATATTATTATATATATTATTTTTATATATATCTACACAGCTCAAAATTAGCCAAATATTAATTGCAAAATATTCACAAAATATTCCCTATGTGTTGTATATCCAAAAGTGTGTGCATATATTTTTGCATATTTATATTTATATTATTTTATATATTATTGTATATTTATTACACTATTTTTATATATTATTGTACATTTATATTATTTTAGATATATCCACACAGCTCAAAATTAGCAAAATATTAGTTACAAAATATTCACAAAATATTCTCTATGTGTTGTATATCCAAAAGTGTGTGCATATGTTATAGTACATTTATATTTATATTATTTTATATATACACAGCTCAAAATTAGCAAAATATTAATTACAAAATATTTACAAAATATTCCTATTTCTATTATTTTATATATTATTGTATATTTATTACACTATTTTATGTATTATTGTGTGTGTGTGTATATATATATATATACACACACACATACACATATACATATACAACTCAAAATTAGCAAAATATTAATTACAAAATATTTACAAAATATTCCCTGTGTTGTATATCCAAAAGTGTGTCCATATATTATTGTATATTTATATTTCTATTATTTTATATATCTACACAGCTTAAAATTAGCAAAATATTAGTTACAAAATATTTACAAAATATGTGTTGTATATCAAAAAGTGTGTGTGTGTGTGTGTGTGTATATATAATATATTATTGTATATTGATATTGTTTTATATATATCTCCAAAGCTCAAAATTAGGCAAATATTAATTACAAAATATTTACAAAATATTCCCTATGTCTTGTATATCCAAAAGTGTGTGCATATCTTATTGTATATTTATATTATATTATATATTATATATATTTTATATATATATTTATTGTATATTTATATTACACTATTTTATATATTATTGTATATTTTATATGATTTAATGTATTATTGTATATTTATTACACTATTTTATATATTATTGTATATTTATATTATTTTAGATATATCTACACCGCTCAAAATTAGCAAAATATTAATTACAAAATATTTACAAAATATTCTCTGTCTTGTATATCCAAAAGTGTGTGCATATATTACTGTATATTTATATTTATTTTATATATATCTACACAGCTCAAAATTAGCAAAATATTAATTGCAAAATATTTACAAAATATTCCCTATGTGTTGTATATCCAAAAGTGTGTGCATTTTTATTGTATATTTATATTATTTAAATATTATTGTATATTTTATATTATTTTATATATTATTGTATATTTTATATTATATTATTGTATATTTGTATTATTTTCTATATATCTACACAGCTCAACATTAGCAAAATATTAGTTACAAAATATTTACAAAATATTCTCTATGTGTTGTATATCCAAAAGTGTGTCCATATATTATTGTATATTTATATTTATATTATTTTATATATTCTTGTATATTTATATTATTTTATATATATCTACACAGCTCAAAATTAGCAAAATATAAATTACAAAATATTCACAAAATATTCCCTGTGTGTTGTATATCCAAAAGTGTGTCCATATATTATTGTATATTTATGTTTATATTATTGTCTATTTATTACACTATTTTATATATTATTGTATATTTTTATTATTTTCTATATATCTGCACAGCTCAAAATTAGCAAAATATTAGTTACAAAATATTTACAAAATATTCTCTATGTGTTGTATATCCAAAAGTGTGTCCATATATTACTGTATATTTATATGATTTTATATATTATTGTATATTTATTACACTATTTTTATATAATTGTATATTTATATTATTTTATATATATCTACACAGAAAATACTGGAAGGATTTGGTGGACATTGACATTGAGTTTGGGAGTTGTAGTTCACCTACATCCAGAGAGCACTGAGGACTCAAACAATGATGGAGCTGGACCAAACTTGGCATGAAAATATGCCCAAATGTGAACACTGGTGGAGTTTGCGGAAAATAGACCTTGACATTTGGGAGTTGTAGTTGCTGGGATTTATAGTTCACCTACAATCAAAGAGCATTCTGAATCCTACCAACAATAGAATTGGGCCAAACTTCCCACACAGAACTCCCATGACCATCAGAAAATACTGATGAGGAAACACAACATACAAACTATCTACAGCTGCGCCCGTACCTTGGGAAGTCTGACTTGGCCACGGTAGTCCACGCTCTGGTTACATCCCGTTTAGACTACTGCAACGCTCTCTACGTGGGGTTGCCTTTGAAGACTGCTTGGAAGCTTTAACTGGTTCAACGTTCGGCATCCATGATACTAACAGGAGCGGCACTCAGGGAGCATACAACTCCTCTGTTGCGCCAGCTCCACTGGCTACCAGTTTGCTACCGGGCACAATTGAAAGTGCTGGCCTTGGCCTATAAAGCCCTAAACAGTTCTGGCCCAAATTACCTATCCGAATGCATCTCCTCCTACGAACCCACTAGGACTTTAAGATCTTCTAGGGAGGCCCTGCTCTTGATCCCGCCTGCAACATAGGCACGTTTGGCGGGGACGAGGGACAGGGCCTTCTCAGTGGTGGCCCCTCGGCTGTGGAACGCCCTTCCCACGGACATTAGATCGGACCCCTCATTAATGGTATTTCGGAGAAAAGTGAAAACCTGGTTATTTGAACAGGCGTTTGGATAGGCAGTGAATTGAATATAGGAAAACGGAACTACGGATGACGAGCTGGATCATGATTCTAGTTATGAGATGCTAAATGAGTTGTTTACTGATGTGTAATTACTTAGTATATTATTGTGTTGTTTTTAAATGGTTTGTATGATGCTAGCATTGAATTTTTGCTCCTCCTGTTGTTAACTGCGTTGAGTCGCCTAAGGGCTGAGAAACTGTGCTATACAAATAAAGTAAATAAATAAATAAATAAATACAGACCCACCAAGAAATCCAACAAATGCTCCGTTCAGCAAAGGACAAGAGGGATCCTCTCACCTCTGCAGGAGTCTACCGTGTACCATGCAGCTGTGGACAAGTCTACAGAGGGACCACCAAACGCAGCAGCCTTGCCCAGACACGCATCAAGGAACGTGAAAGGCACTGCAGACTACTTCAACCAGAGAAGTCAGCCATAGCAGAGCACCTGATGAACCAGCCTGGACACAGCATATTATTTAAGAACACAGAAATGTTGGACCACTCTCACAACCACCATGCCAGGCTACACAGAGAAGCCACTGAAATCCACAAGCATGTGGACAATTTCAACAGAAAGGAAGAGACCATGAAAATGAACAAAATCTGGATGCCAGTATTAAAAATCTCAAAAATTACAACAGCACAACAACAGAGAGGAAACAAACAAGGACATCTTATCCCCTCTCAACAAAAGATCGCTCCAGGCACTTTACTTACTTAGGTGATCCCTCGTTGGACGAGTAAGATGGTCTTCCTTGATGACTATTTTTGTGGGTTTGTAGGTGGCTGTGGAGCCCTATTCTTGACCCGCATCTTCTCCCACAGCGAAGGCATTGGTTTCCAGGTGGAAGGCGGTCCCGGTCGGGGTTGGCTTGACGCGCCTTCCTCCTGGCACGTTTCTCTCTTTCACCCTCCACTCGTGCCTCCTCAAATTCTGCAGCACTGCTGGTCACAGCTGACCTCCAGCTGGAGTGCTCAAGGGCCAGGGCTTCCCAGTTCTCAGTGTCTATGCCAGAGTTTTTGAGGTTGGCTTTGAGCCCATCTTTCAATCTCTTTTCCTGTCCTCCAACATTCCGTTTTCCGTTCTCAAGTTCAGAGTAGAGCAACTGCTTTGGGAGATGGTGGTCGGGCATCCGAACAACGTGGCCGGCCCAGCGGAGTTGATGGCAGAGGACCATCGCTTCAATGCTGGTGGTCTTTGCTTCTTCCAGCACGCTGACGTTTGTCCGCTTCTCTTCCCAAGATATTTGCAGGATTTTCCGGAGGCAGCGCTGATGCAATCGTTCCAGGAGTTGCATGTGACGTCTGTAGACAGTCCACG